GTACCCTTGATGTATATTTCTACATTTTCTACCCCTGATGTAGCAAGGAGAGGGCGTGGAGAGATTACCAGGTGAGCGTAGAGAATGCGAAAAGGCGACCCAGTACTCCTCCTAGACCACTCTTCCCCTCGTCAATGATGAGCCGCGAAAGAAAGCTGCGCCTCAACTACGAGCTGATGAAAAAATGCGTCGAGAAGAACCCGATCCCCCCTATGCAGCCAGAGTGGTTTACGGCTATTCTGCGCCTCATTCCCAACAACTTGCGAAGCTCTGCCGAACTCAGGGTAAGTTATATGCTATGGTTGTTTTAGTTGGAGAAGTAAATAGATGAATATATGTGTGTACCTGTGCGTGTGCGTACTGAAGTGAGTGTTGTGTTTGTGTCAACCTTATGAATAATTTTTAATAACATGAATTGAATTTGATAAATAATTGCAATATTTTAATAAATAAGAAAAATCTAGCTTTTCTCACCAGGCGCTCAAGTTTCAGTTGGCTATATATTTTCAAATTATTTCGTTGTTATTACCAAATTTAATAATGTATATATATATCTATTTATACACATGAGTTTTATTTTGGTAAAGGGGACAAATAATGCCAATATAAATAAATAAATATATGTATACATATATTTACACATTATATATATATTATATATATATATACACACACATTTATCGTCGCCTGTGACATGTCTTTTGCACGTTAAAGGCGTACATCGAGGTCCTGTTCGAGGAGATCGGGGACGAATATGTGCGCAGCATTCGTAAGGGAATCGTCAACCAGGTCCTACTAAAGCCCTCTGAGAAGGCGACCGATGGCGGGACACCACGGTCAGCACGCACGTCGGAGGCGCTCAATTCTGAGAGGTAAGCATCACGACCTAGTCAATTGACCTATCTGTCTGGCAAGACTCACAGACAGCTTCAACCAATCATTGTTGCGAGGGGACATTCTGAAAAAACAGTGCTTAGTGACAGGATGCCGCAAAGTCCACGTTTTCGGTGCTTAATCACGCTGTCTGGCTCAGTGAGGTTCAAGCGAACCCTTGGAACAGGAGCTACAGGAAAGCTCGCGAGAAAATCCGGAAGAACCTGTACATCCTCCATCCGACGATGCTGACCGTGTTAAGGATGTGTCAACACAGCCTCGGGGACATGCTCGTAGACTGCACCCACTTCAGGTATCAACAACAAGCGCGGGAGCTGCCCAACGCACAATGCTACCGCATCTCGTAGCCAATTCATAGATTTACGTGATGAAATAATGTCTGTGTGCAGGTATTTAGTGTTGAATGTTTTACACGGCCCACTATGTAACGTGTAATTGGGGTCTGTCGAATTATAGAACGTATATTTATATCGTCTTGATTATATGGAGCAGATTAAATGTCTATATTTTTAATTTTTAGCTTGATTCGTTTTCATTCACATAATATTACTGTTCGTATAGGGCTAAAGGTGCTATTGAGATAGACAGCATGAAGAACACCATTCTCTACGAGATGGAAAAAGCTGAGGAGAGGCTAATGCATGGGTATTTTTCTTCTCGATACACAACCCCGCGATCTAGTAATAAAAGTACGAAAAATAATTTACAAAGGTTTTTTTCGTGAAGCCTAATCTAGCAACTTGTTATCGCCGTCGATGGCTTTCAGATGGTATCCCCAGATCTTGGCTCTTTTTTCCGACAAGAACACGCTGGCTGGAATCAAACCAGCTCAGCAGGATCAGTTCTACAACGCTGTCACAGCACTAGTTGCTAATCAGGTGAGAGGATTCTGCAGACGATAAATACCCACCGCCGTGTCTCGTCACAGGGATTTTCTTGCCGGCTCGCCATCGTCTTGGCATTTCTAAGTTTACAAATATTTACTGGCGAGGCAACCGTTTCCTCAACTCAACACGTTCCACGCGAAGATTAGGCCGCCGTGGCGAGGTCTTCGCGTCACCTGCGGCACTCAATGTTTCCGAACACGATTCCATTTGCTTGCCAGGTGAGAGGCATGCTGCAGAGGACTCTCGCCGGCTGGATGTCCCTGTACGCCGGCGCGCTCATCGCTCAGGCTCCGCTGCTGCGGTTGCAGCTCGTCTGCGACGAGGGTCGCATGCAGTTCTATCCGTCCTACGCCGACCTAGAGGGCGCCGTCGTCCACGTCGCCGTGCAGATGACGCAGAGCATGCAGCAGGTCAGTGGTGGCCCGGCGCGTTTGTGGTCTATGACTGGAGAATTCGTTCTCGTGGACTTGTTCTCTGTGGCTCGGCGCGTGCCGCGGGGGGAGGGAGGGAGTGGAGGAGTCGACCTCGGGGGTTGTCTGCAGCACTTGTTTTTCGTCATTTTCAGTCGGTGGCTTGCTGCTGGCAGAATGTCTTGAGTCTGTCTCGGCTAGATATTAATGTGTACATGTGTACTCTAGGATCGTGGTGGTGGTATTGAGGGTGATTTTGAGTTTCGGATGAAATGTTTTGGTGTTGTTTGTCTTCGTTACGTTTGCTTGCGGTTGCTTTCTCTCTCTCTGTTTCTCTCTCTTTCTCTCTCTCTTTCTCTCTCTCTCTCTCTCTCTTTTGCTCTCTCGCTCTTCTTGCTCATCTCTTGCCAATTCTTTGTGTATTAACTATAACAGCTACTTTCAGGTGCCCACTGTCCACTCGTGGTTGGCGGCCGGAGACAACCTGGTAATGACGAGCAGTGGTCTGACCGAGAGCATGGTCAGCGACGCTTGCGCGATCCTGACGGCAGCCATGCGGGAACACTTTGACCTTCCCGCAAAGCACTTGGAATCGTACAGTAAGAACCCCGTTGGTTTCCCGTCCGGCGGTCATGCAGCGGCCATTTTGGAATGGCCATTCCGTCTTCGTGTGGTGTTATGTTTCCGGCGTAGAATCGTTTTTTCGTGAATGTTATGTATATTGCTCGGCGTGTAAAGACGTCTGCGTTTGTTGCAGTGCAAAAGTACGATTTTATCATCAACGGGGAGGCTGACAGAAGAGTCGATGCCTTCTTAGAGGAGGAGCACACGTTCGAGGAGTATTGCCAGGTTTACTGAGAAACACCAGTTTATTTTCACGTAGCTGTATGTCGATCAACTATCAATTAAGCGACTGAGATTTGTGTAATCGTCTCCCGATCTATATCTAAAGCACGCACTTTTAATCGCGCTCGCAGAAAAAAATCCCATCAGTATCGTTTAAAATTTTGAGCTGAGTAGAGGGCTGACGATTGGATTCTGTTCCGCGTTAGTTTTCGGAGGAGTTCAGGACCTTGGCCAAGGACATCGCGGGCCAGTCGTCCATCTACGAGACACAGGTGATTCAGCTGGACTGCGAGGACCTCAAGCGTGGGCTCATCGATGCAGCGATGAAACTCTCCACCCAGCTGCTTAACAGGGTCGCCAACGACCACAGCAAGGAAGTGAAGAGGTGAGCAGTTAACTGTAAATTAAGTCGCTTATTTTCGTGGAACCCAATTTTCGTGGTTTCAATGAAAAAACACGTTCGTGGATTTTTAAATTCGTGGATTGAAATCGTAGAACCGGCACTTGACATCAGTACATTATATTTCATTGGGAACGTAAGTTTGTGGATTGATAAACCCACGAAATCCAAGAAAATTGGTACGTAATCCACGAAAAAAAAGGAATTACAGTACCCGAATGAGAACCACGTACAGCCTCGATCTACGGGGCAAGATGGGTGGGTGGGGTGGGGGTGGGTGAGCTGCCCCCTTGCCCAGATGCTTGAGAAGAATAAAGTAAAGGCATAATAATTCTAAATAACCCTAAGAAACTAAGTACCTAAATAAAGACCCTAAATAATAAGACCCTAAAAACCCGAATAACCGGAATTTAACCTGAATAAATGTATAGTCGTCTCTGGTTCCACAACCACTCCTGTCAAGCTATATATGCAGGTTAGACGGGAGCTTTGAACCTCCCTTACCGTTACTCGGCTGAAGTGGAAAACTTGTCTCCTGCCCAGATATTTTCTCAGCCTACATCTTTATGTAGGCATTTTCCTGTGTTAACTTGTTACTGTGTTACGATGTTGTTAAATTGCTGTTGTTGTTAGGTACGCGGTAAATGCAATTCCAGTTTATATTAGCTCAGCCAATGTTTGTTTGCACGTGTGTGCACTGCCTTGAAATTCTGAGGTCAACTCGATTGCTGAGAACTGTAACATGCATCGTGTACATCACAAACGACACGTTTAGTAAAAACAGCGAGAAATATTTAAAAAAAAACAGGCACACAAATTGTAATGGTCATTGACTCGATGCACTCGAGTAGATTTATCAATATGCAAACCACGTGACGGAATTGATTCGTCCTCGCTCCCAGCATCATCGCGGAGTTTGTGGGCTTAGAGGAGCGGCTGACCAGACTGCCGGGCAACAGCGAGGAGATGGTGGAGACGGTGAAACACGTCGAACACGTGAAGACGGTCGGCATTCACAAGATCATCACGCGCATGCAGGTGCGTCGCTCCTCTACTCCACTACTCCTCCCCTCGATCAGGGGCACGCTCTGCCCTGTTTCCTCGATTCATCATGGACTTTTCATCCATTCTTCTGATGAACCGATTGCCGTTGCAATTGATAATCGATCCACCTGAATTGATTGACAGGATGCTCTAGCCAATAAAAATTATCGTAAGGGCATTAAAAAAACACTGCTTAGTAAAGAAGTGGCGCAATGTGATTTGGTGTGTGCGTGTGAAAAACCGTGTCCAAACTGGGTGAGCGTGAATGACCTAGAGACAATATAAAAGGTAGAGACTTAATTATTCGCTCGGGGGACGGTTCAATTATCAATATCGTTAAAATACGTTCAGTATTTTATAAACATGGCCGCTTGGTTGTTTAACGTGCAGGGGGTACAGCGGCATCTATTCTACCTGATCGACTGCTACAGCTTCCAACGGGAGGATATCGACCGAAATGCAGAGCTCATACTCTGGCCCAAGAACATACAGCCAATATTCGACAGGAATGAAGAGGTATTGCCGATCACATTATCAGAAACAGGCGGCATGTTTATTTAGCTAGTTACAGTTGGTTACAAAAAAAAGTGTAGCTCTGAGTATAGTGTACTAGCTGGCTGCTATATATGTGTATCAGGGTTCTCCAAGCTTTTTCATTGTAGCATGGCGGGTGCTGCCTTTACGGTTCTAGAGTTGCAAATCGCCGAAGGCGGTTTGCGTGCTAGGGGGGTCCGGGGGCTATGATATTTAGCATGGCGGCTATGAGTGGCGGGTGCATTTTAGGATGG